AAAAAGTAACATATGTATAATATGTACATATATATATATATATATATATATACACACACACACACAGTATATAATCTACAGCTCTGAGAGCTTTTAAGTCAGGAATGCTGAGTATTATAGTATATTGAGGTCAGAAACAATTTTTACTTTTGTGTGTGTGTGAGTGTGCGCACGCTTACATTTTCAGTAGGTTTGGGCTGCATTATTCAGGCGCTTATTATTGATTTTTTATGTGTGCTGTTGTTCATTTACCCATTTTAAAGGATTTTATTTCATCTTTCAAGGCTATTGTGTTTTTCTTAGATGGAGATTTTGAAATAATGTAAACAATTGTTTAAAAACTCCCCCCTCCCTCAAAATTATTCACTTTTGTGCTTTGTGTCTTTGGCAGCTATATAACAAAGGCAAAAATAATTGGAAGAGGTTTTACTAAGAAACCACTCGTAAGACTTTTTTTTTTTTTAACTCATGGTGTAGGGGCTATGCATTTTTATTTGACCAATGATTTCACCAGATTTGGATAGTTGCCAGCAGCATTGCTAGTATCTGAAAGCACAATTCCAGCCAGTCATGCTCTTCAGGACAAAGTCATCTATAGGCTGCTTTTGGTTGTTCTATGGTTTGTCTTTGTGTCTCAGACCTACTGGCTTGTCTGGTACTAAATGTTGACCAGAAAGGTGGTGGGGTGTTTGGAACCATACAAAGACTCAGGAAAAAATAAAGGTTAATTTAACAAGGACAAACCACCCTATACATAACATTTCTGATCTAAATTTGTACTACCGTTTTTTAATCTGGGCTTCCAGTAGACAGCAGCTGCAGGCAGTCATCTGTTAATTAAAACTGGTCTCTGCTTATTTTTAAAACAGACAGCCAGTGTTTTTTGCAGGTTAAAGCAAGAACAAGTCTACACTTTAAAGTGATTTCATTATCAATGGTCACAAACCTGTGGCAGTTATTGGAGGTTTCTCTGCGTTTCTGAGATCCTGTTTGTCTTGCCATTTTTTGCCCTGAGAACAGAGATAGTGACAGACCATTCGCCAATGACCTAAAGGAAAGGTGGTATATTTATTTTTGTTACGTGATATGCTTTGTAAATGTTTGATAAAATGTGCACTTTTACAAAAAGAAAAAAACCTTAGAGCAATTGGATATTCGCTCTGCTTGAAAAGCTCCCTGACATGGTTATTACAGACCTACTACTTGTTTGTGACTCTCACTCCTCTCCACAAATCTGTTGACTCTTTCATAAAGAGCTTTCAGAATGAAGCCTGTTAGCACCTGACTTTCAGCAAGTGCTACTTCAAAATAGCAAGGGATCTGAACTGGCAGTACCAAAAGGCTAGATACCGGGGTGTAGTGTAAGAATCTTATTCTGTCTCTTAGGAACACAAACAGGACGAATGTTAAATTATTTTTAGACAAAACAGAACTAGTTCAAAGAACTCAAGTGAGAAAGGGGAATTAATTTGGAAGGGAAACTGAAACCTTTTCATCACGTTAGTCCCTTGTCCCCAGTTTGAGATCTAGCTGCACATTTCCGGAGCTGCATCCCAAGAAAACAAATGCAAAAGGATTTACAAATTCTATGTACCAGGAAATAGAGGTGCATCTAATGATAACACGCCCATTCAGTTTGAAAAAAAAGAAAAAAGCACAGCTAACTCTCTTTTGCAGTGGCAATGAGGGGAATGAATGACTTAGCTATACCCTGAATCCTTGTAATGTAAACTTTTCAAATGTCCTGTACATTCACGGTTTGTGTGGACTGTGACGAAGGAGTGGTTTCCTTGATCTTCTGAATTTGCTAGTTATAAAAGATACTGATCCGAGAGGGACCTGAACATATCACAAAGCTAAGCTAGTTTGGGAGGATTCAACCTGATATACAGACAGGGTCCTAAGTTCCAGCCGGCATTGGCTCATGGTAGGTTCAGCTCTATTGATGGATGTAGCTTGAATATTTCTGTCTCTTTGGGGAAGAGGGACCAGATTCAGTTTGTAAAAAGGGTTTGTATTTCAGGTTTTTCAGCTTGCAGTGTTTTTTGTAAGTGTATTTAAGTCATAGCCTGTGAAGAGAATTGAACAGGCAAATTTGCCTAGCACAAATTCAAGATCTTGACCTGTCTACATTCTGGTACTGCAAGTGCAGGTCTCAGCTGCACTTTTTGGCTCACTAGATGGTAATTTTAGATCTCATTCTCACCAGCAAGAAATAGGGAAAGTTTACTGTCCTCAGGAGACATACATTGGGCAGGGAAGAGGGTAGGGGAAGGGGGCTAATGATCCGAGGTTAGCACGTTTAACATAAGCTGACCGTTTGTACTTGTGACTTGGAAGCATACTGTTATCAAAATCAGTTCGTTGAGTCTCAGCCTTAGGCAGCCTTTCTATGAAGTAAGGGGAAATCTGGGATAACACGAAGTGGGGGAACCAACAAGAATAGGGTCTTGTGCCCATCGGCCATCTGCAAATGGTTAAGGTTAAGAATCGGCGACAGCAGGATGCTCTACCCAAGTTGTATCTTATCCAGGTGCCACTCCATTGTGTGTGTAATGAAATTACTTATATTTAAAAAGAAATAAAATTATAGAACTGCAAATTTGTATGAAATTTAACACTCTACTGCTTGTATGGACTTTCTGTGATGAGGAAGGGAAGGGGCAGAGAGAGGTGGGAACTAGCTACTGTTCCCACGCACCCCACACAGACTTGTCCACATATCAGTTGTTCATGTCAAAAATAAATAATTTCTAGTCCAGATTTATAATTTGAAATGTTTTTAGAACAATGTTTTTCAGGGAGGTTTCTAGAGCAAGGATTATTATTAACTATTGTTATTATTTTTTAATTTAAGATGGAGAGGGTAAAGCTCACCTCACCCCATTTCTGATCCTTTACCCAAAACTATCAGCACAAAACAGGGTATTTCAACCTTAACTCCAGCATTTCTGTGGGAGTTAAATGACTAAACAAAGAAACCTTGATGCGGGAAATAAGTTCCTATTACAATTCCCTACATTCTAGAAACATCCCTGCTTTAATTTTTTTTTACTTAATCTTTTTGTGCTTTATCTGTGTTTAAAAAAAAAATTGTACTGAGTTATAATGCATTTTATTAACACTATGTACATATTAGCTGCTTTGTGTTTCAGAATGGTAGTAATTGCTTTGTATATTAAAGTGATCCTTGTGAATTTGTGAATTATTGTCATAAAGAAGTGCTTTTTCTTACTGTAACCTTTGTGGTATAAACTGTCATAAATCCCTTTTTACACAAACATTGATGTGCAGTCACATAAACATGCTTTTAAAAACTCTCCAAAGTCTCTTTTTTGAGGAGGGGGTTCCATTTAGACTGTGTTGCGGGCAGCAGCTACAAAGCAGTGAGGTAAGAACGTAGCCATATTTGATCAGAACAATGGTCCATCTAATCCTGTATCCTCTCTTTCACAGTAGCCTGTCCTAGCTGTTTTCAGAGGGAGATGCAAGAAATCCTGCTGTAGGCTGTTATGGGATAACCTTCCCATAGGGAAAGTTTCTTCCTCGCTTAATTAATTAGTTTAAGTTAATTGAAAATTGGTTTCTATCCTTAAGCATGAGGTTTTATATTCCTTCCAAAAAAACCTGGGCTTTTTGATTTATTTTTAATCCTCTGCTATTTTCTCTCTTTCTAAAGGTCTAATCCTTTTTCTGAAACCTACCGTCATGGTGGCAGGGAGTTCTATGGGATAACTGTGTGTTGTATGGAAAAGGTATTTCCTTTTATCGGGTTTAAATGTGTTGCCTTTCAATGTATTGAACATCCCTTTGTAAAACCTATACTAATGTTTTAATCTAGTACTATCCGAAGTAATAATAGCGAGACAAGGTGGGTGAGGTAATATCTTTTATTGGACCAGCTTCTGTTGGTGAGAGAGGCAAGCTTTCAAGCTGAAGAAGAGCTCTGTGTAAGCTCAAAAGCTTGTTTCCTTCATCAACAGAGGTTGGTCCAATAACAGATATTATCTCGCCCACCTTGTCTCTCTAATAACATGTGGCAGAACAAAATACAGGGAGGCACTGTGATCATGCAAAGATCAGGACTGGGTTAGGTAATCTACAGATTAGGTCAAACAGTGGGGGTAAAAGCCAGTGGATCAAATTAGGCACTGCTGTAAACAGATGCCTCTCCATTAAGGTCACTGGAGTGCAGTGAAGTCCTCCATTCCCCTTTCCATGGCTGGTTTTCAGTGACCACATAATTTCTTAATGGAACATTTTTCTTTTGAAAATCCACCATTCCATCTATGAGAGGGTGACAGCAGGGCTTAAACCCCATGAGTACTAAAGTAAAACTTGGCTCGAATTTCATCGTGAAGGAAGTCAGG